CTGCTGTCACGAAATATGTTCTCGGGAAGCTTCCCGGGAATATAATTCCGCGTGCCTCCCTTTCTCCACCTCACCGATATGATCCCCCCTCTCGTTCCCCTCCTCTTCTTTCTCGGAACCTCCTCCTGTCGTGCAAGATGTCCCCAGGAAGACTCCCGGGAACATAAGTCCCATCCTTTTGCTCAAGCGCCTGATCCCTCCTTGGCGGCCCTTCCCCCTCCTCCTCCTTCCTCTGATCCTCCTCCTCTGGCTGCTCTTCCTCCTATTCCTGTTCCTCTCCCTCTTCTTCCTCCGCCTCCTCCTGCCCCCCCCTCGACTTCTCCCTCTCCCCCCCTTGCATCTGCCGCGTGCCCCTCCTCGTCACTCCGCGGGTCGCGGGGCCGAAGAGTCTCGGAAGCCGATGGGTCGTGGGGCCGCGATTGAGGATCTTCGCCTCTGGAGGTCAGGAGCGCCCAGGGGCCGAAGGATTCGGAGGACTCCTGGGGCCGACTTCAAGGGTCGCGGGGCCTACGGTTCCCAAGGGAATCCGGACCGGGGAGGGCGCCCAGATCGGGAGGCGCCCGGACCAGGGAAGGGGGGGAGGAGGAGGAAGGGCAGAGGATATTGAGGAGGAGGAGGAGGAGGGGGAGGAAAAGGAGGAGGGAAGAGGAGGAGGAGAGGAAGGCGCAGGAGGAGCAGAAGCAAATGATGGAGGAGGAGGTGGTGGAGGAGAAGGAAGGGAACTAAGGAAACGGAAGAAAGAGACAGGCGAGGAGGAGGAGGAGGAAGAGGACGAAGGAGGAGGAAGAAGAGAATAAGGAGAAGGAGAAGGAGAAGGAGAAGGAGAAGGAGAAGGAGGGGGAGGAGGAGAAGGAGGAGGAGGAGGAGGAGAAGGACGGACAGATAGATGTACATATACACATAAGAAAAGGGCTGCCTTGATACTTCTGCCAGGGCCTCGCCGTGATTTCGGCTAGATCCAAAGCGCGCGCGAAGCGCGCGCGATGGTTCTAGTATATGTATATATTTATATGTAGATATACAATATATATGTATATATATATATATTCACATGCAAGTGCGCGCGTATGTTGGACAGTGCCAGCCCCAAGCAGCTCGTTCCAGAATACGACGTGGTGCAATAGATGTGATGTAAGCCACGTGGTGCGAACTACTTGGCGCACTAAACGTGGAGTAAGCCACGTGGTGCAACCTATGTTGTGCGCACTCTACGCGGTGCACTATATCCCGTGCAAAATGTGCGGCGTAAGCTATGCGGTGCAGTCGATGCGGAGCCAACGTGACCATCTACTTGGCGTTAGCTAGGCGGCGCGAGCTATGTGGCGCAATGGATGCGGTCTGATCTACAGGGAGTGAGCTATCTAATGCAATATGTGCGATGCGAACAAACCTGTTGACAAATTCCACCGTTTCGCAAACATCCCAACCACCCACCCGCAACTTGGTTTGCAAAACCCACGCGGCGACGATTGCGATGAGTGCTTGGCGCCGGCTGGCGCAACTCTGCGGCCGCGCAAGCCCGCGCATGCTCGCGCGCACAACGGCCAGCTAGTTTGGCGTGACCGACGCAGCCGCAGCAGCGCTAGCCGCTGGGCACTTCCCAGCGGGCACTTCAGCACGAATCGGCGACTTGGGCGGGCGCGGCAACATGGCGACGCCGACAACAGTGGACACGATTATGAGAGCAGCGATGATGGCGACAATGGTGGTGACTACGACCGAAGGACCAATGACGGCGCCGAAATTGACCACGCGCGCCGACGTTGATGACGATGTCCTCGCGTTGGCGATGAAGGTCTTTGGAGGAGTTCGACACGTGCGCGCGGCCGACGCGCGCGAGTGGCCCGCGCGGCAATATTCGACACGGATCGCGCCCCCCCCCCCAAGCATGCGCGCAAGGGCGTTCGAATGAGCTCGACATGCGGCGCGAGATGCCAATTTGGCAGAGTGTGATGAAGACGTTGAAAACCGATGACTTTCTTAATTAATCATCCGCGAGACCGCGAGCGCATGTTTCTTTGAAAACTGGCGTTGCAAAACCATGTTTTTGCTTTAAATGCGTGCCCCATACTCGTCTTTGAAATCCGTACGAAACGCATGGTTGTTGAAGGATGTCGGCACGCGCGCGCGACGACGCGCGCGCGCGCACGTCGCCCCGCTCGTTTGCAAGAATTTCTTGCGACAGCACGCGCGCAAGCGCATTCGAGCGATTTCGAAATGCGCGCGCATCCGCAAGAGCGCATGCGTTTTATTTGTTTTCGGGACACTCGTTTTTGAAGCTCTTACGAATCTTACGGTTCCCTGTATTTCGGGCCATCTGTTGCAAGGGATGAGTGAAAACCTTTGATGTTCGATAACCGCGCGCGTATAATACCTTGTGCAGAAGATGAAATTGGGGGCGGGGAGGGGTGGGGGCGAACTCCGGCTGGGCTAGGATGGCACGAGATCATATTTAGGATGGACGATGGGCAGAATCATTTATACATTGCAATACGACAAGGTCACCCGTTAAGTCCGGGGGGGGGATCTGACGGCGCCGATGTTGATCACGCCGACGGCGATAACGGCGTTGTCGCGTCGGTGATGAAGGTTTTTGAAGGAGTTCAATATGCGCGCGCGGCCGACGCGCGGGAGTGGCCCGCATGGTACTAGTTGACACGGGTCGTGCCCCCCAGCACGCGCGCAAGGGCGGTCGAATGATGTCGACATGCGGCGCGAAAGGCCCGTTGGGCCGAATTGAACGACAATAATTAAAGCCATGGTTTCGCCAAGAATCCGCAACAGCGCGAGCGAAATTTTGCTTTGAAAATTGGTGTTGCGAAACCATGTGTTTTATATGTTTTCGGGGCATTCGTTTTTGAAGCCCTTCCGGAACCCAAGATGTTTGACTGATTTTGGCATAAGCGCGAGCGACGACGCGCGCGCGCACGTCGCCCCATTTGTTGCGAATGATTATTGCGACAGCACGCGCGCGAGGGCGCTCGAACGATTTCGACACGCGCGTGCGACAGGCCCATTTAGTAGAATTGCGCCATAAAAATAATCGTTTTCCTGAAAATTCGCCAGAGTGCGCGCAAGTGTTTCGCAAGAGCGCACGCAAGTTTTTCTCAAAATCCGCATTGCGGAACCATGTTTTCGTGACGTTCGATTTTGAAATCTCCTACGAAACCTAAGGCTTTTGAAGAATTCCGGTCTGCGCGCAACATGACGCCCGCGTGTGCATAGATTCCCATTTGTTGCAAGGGACTTTTGAAATTGATGATTTGTGATAGACGAGTGCGCGCGCATAGTATTTGTGCAGAGGATGAGGGGGGGAACCGTTACCGGTTTGGTTGGGATGCTTCGAATTCCGACTTAGGATGGACGACGGGGGCGACAACAAGTGCGGCGACCGAAACCCAGGCGCAATGGAGCGGCGACGGACGGCGGCGACGGGCGACGACGGCGATAATAATTTGGCCAGACCGACACCCAGGCCCTGGTTCCTTTCGGTTAATCAGAGCCCCAATGTAAGTGCAAGCAGTGTTTGGGGATGTGTATATATACGTATATCTATGAGAGAGAGAGAGAGAGAGAGAGAAAAAAAAAAAAACAAAAAAAAAAGGAGAGAGAGAGAGAGAGAGAGAAAACAAAAAAAATGGGAGAGAGACAGACAGGAAAAGAAGAGGCGGAGGAAGAGGGCAATTAAGGAGGGGAGGAGGAGGAGGAGGAGGAGGAGGAGGAGGAGGACGACGACGACGACGAGCAGCAGGAGGAGTTTTTCCTCGTGTCGTCCCCGCTCCGCGTGTCCCCTCGCCCTTCACTTGCCTTCGACGTCTAGGAGAGAGCGACCCAACTGTTACACCCCCGCTCGCCCAAACAGGCCTGGGCATCGGAGTTTGCGTGTACCTGCTCGCAGCGTAAGGAGGCGCAGGAAGAGGGCGAAGGAAAGGATCAAGGAAAAAGATCAAGGAGGAGAAGGAGGAGGAGGATGCTCGAGAAGAAGGACGGCGCCCAAGACCCTGACCCCAGAGGTCCTCAGAGGTCGAGGTCTCTAAAGGCGCAAAAGGAGGCCAGAAGCGCCCGAAAACCTCCCCCCAAAACCCTCGATGAGCCAGGGGCATGTCGTCGTCGTCGTCGCTCGTCGTCGTCGTCGGCGTCGTCGGCGTCGACGTCGTCGGCGTCGGCGTCGTCGCTCGTCGGCGTCGGCGGCGGCGTCGTCGTCGCCGTCGTCGGCGTCGGCGTCGGCGTCGGCGTCGGCATCGGCATCGGCGTCGTCGGCGTCGGCGTCAGCGTCGGCGTCGGCGTTGTCGTCGTCGTCGTCGTCATCGCTCGTCGTCGGCGTCGTCGTCGTCGTCGGCGTCGGCGTCGGCGTCGGCGTCGTCGGCGTCGTCGGCGTCGTCGGCGTCGTCGGCGTCGGCGTCGGCGTCGGCGTCGGCGTCGGCGTCGGGGTCGGCGTCATCGTCGTCGTCGTCGTCGTCGGCGTCGGCGTCGGCTTCGGCGGCGTCGACGTCGGCGTCGGCGGCGGCGTCGTCGTCGTCCACGTGCCGCCGAAGTGGCCGCATCAGCTCGGAGGAGCGGAAGAATGGGATCGAGGCCGGCCAGCGCCGCTGCGGCAGCGCGCTCCGCCTCGATCCTCGCCCGCGCCTGCGCAGGCGCAGGCGAGGATCGAGGAGGAGGGTCGAGGATCGAGGAGGAGGATCCACGAGGAGGACCGAGATCGAGGAGGATCCTGGAGGAGGACCGAGATCGAGGAGGATCCAGGAGGAGGACCGAGATCGAGGAGGATCCTGGAGGAGGACCGAGATCGAGGAGGACTGAGATCGAGGAGGATCCAGGAGGAGGACCGAGATCGAGGAGGACTGAGTTCGAGGAGGATCCGGGAGGAGGACCGAGGTCGAGGAGGATCCGGGAGGAGGACCGAGATCGAGGAGGATCGAGGGGAAGGCTCGAGGGTCAAGGGTCTAGGAGGGAGGATCGAGGAGGAGCGAGGAGCAGGAGCGGGGCTCCCGAAAAAGCAG